AAAAAATATAAAGATTATTCTGCAAGTATATTGATTTCCATATACTTGGGGAATGGTCCACACTTTTTTGTAACGGAATATTGCAATTGATTTTTAACTACCTTCCAGACTAGCAGAAGCCCTGAAAATTTAGGAATTTTTGTAGTGCATATGACTGTTCATGTTAAAATTGTTTTTAGGGCCCATGACAATATGGTGATGGGGGGACTAACGCAAGTGGCCCACTTTTTTGTAGTGGAGCCCTGTGATAAATTTTTCACTACTTTCCAGACAAACTGGAGCTCTGAAACTTTCAGCATTTGTGTAGCCCTGATGAATGTGTGTTAAAATGGCCCGAGGCCCTGGGGCTATGCCTTACTTAATTTTCAAAAAACAACGTTTTTTTTTTTGCTTTTTTTAATAATATAAAGATAACTTTGAAAATAATGTCTTCAAAAAATTTTTGAGTTTGTACTTGTTCTGCTTTTATTTAATTATTTACAAAGTAAAATACAAAAATATAAATTGTCAGTTATATAGTATAAGATTGTGTTAAAATTTGCTCAGATATGTCAATGGTCAAAGTATACATACATCCAGTTGTTGTTACAGGTGCATCATTGATGCAAATTATGTTGGTAATCAGAATTCATCTGCTCTAGATGGCCAGAAAAGTATTTTCAGAAGAACCATGCAGGTGCATAAATGTTACCATAACATCTTGCTCAATATTGTTGGTTGCTTTTTTACCAGTTTTTTTTTTTTAATAATTTTATCTAGTATTTATTCAAAGCATTCTTTTCACTATTTTTATTTTAATTTAAATATCAGAAAAAATGAACTTTTTAAAATGCGCAGGCTAACTAAAAGATGACCATCCTGCCAATGCTTTTTTGTGCGCTGGTATTAAATTTCAATTATATCAGAGTTAATCAGAGTTTTGAGAACATTGTATAAATGTTACCTTAACATCTTGCTCAATTTTATTTATCATATTAATCCAATAAAAAGTGTCATATTTACGCAGGATGAATTCACTAAATTCTAATGTATTGATTTGAATTTGCTGATTCTGTTGAGTACTTTGAATACCAGAAAAAAAAAACATGCCTGTTTTACTAAAATTTTCACTTGTTCATTAAAAACTAACAGTATCATAGATTCTGGGTTAAATTGATGATAGTTCCTAGTTCCAGGAACTTTTTTACTTAGCTCTAAACTTTTTTTTAAAAGTGGTTTGCAATTCTATCAATCTTTCATTTTTGATCTTGAAAAAATAAATCTTTTTAATTTAATATCTGGTCATTTATGGGCCTTTGTAGACTTGCATTAACAGTTAATCGTTTTACAGTGCCACCAATACCATCACATGGTGACTTACCATGGCTTGTAGCAAAAAACGTCAATTCTGCATCAAGGGCAAAATCATCTTTATGGAAACAGTGTACTGTGCAGCACAACAACAAATTAAAGTTCTTTGAAATATTAGGATGATTTTCTTTCAAATAAATAACTATTTGTGTCTGAACTTCGTGCACAAAACCAATGTCATGCTCATTATCTTCTGACATAAAGCAAAATGATTTTTCTTTAATTGAGGGCAACAGGGCGTAACTTGCATTGACTTTAGCTAACTTTGAATTCCATTTTATTTGTATTTGGAAAAAGCTGATTACATATATTTGTAATTGTATTTGGAAATCTGGAATTAACAATTTTGTATTTGATCAAATACATTTGATCCCAACCCTGGTGAGGAGTATACAAACATTGAATAAAATTGGTAGAAAATGCAAGAGGTGCAGCTGCATATATATGTATAAATATATATATATATATATATATATATATATATATATATATATATATATATATATATATATATATATATATATATATATATATATATATATATGTATATATATATATATATATATATATATATATATATATATATATATATATATATATATATATATATATATATATATATATATATATATATATATATATATCTGTGTGTGTGTGTGTGTATATACTTGAATTTTATAAGTATATATATATATATATATATATATATATATATATATATATATATATATATATATTCTTTTCTTTCATTATTCTTTGGTTTGTTTTCTAAAAAAGCCCTAAGCTGTAAGGCTAAGCAAAATATATATACAGGGACAAACCTAGACCTGTTTTAGTACCACGCCCAAAAATTACCTAATTTTTTAGTTTTTCTTTTGCTTTTTTATTAAGAATTGAAAAAAAAATTTCATTTTTTAATGCAGTAGTATATAAATATTTTAAAGTTTATTTTAGCTACCTCACTTTTTCTTCAGGACTATAAAATGAATGAAAGAAAATGCTTTTTATACGTAATTGCAAGATGAAACTGTTCTTTGGTTACTAACTAAACGTTAGTTTTAAAAAAATGAATGTTGTTATGAAACTTAATTTTAAAAACTTGATCCAAAATTTTATAACATTTATATGTTTTTTTGTTTTTTTCAATATTCTTTTCAACTTTTAAAATAATAATAAACAATAACTCAATAAAAGTTCTATTAAAATCTGTTTAAAATAACCCATAGTAAATGTAACGTATTATTAAACATAATTTACAAAGTTATACTTTACGTTTCAAAAAAATGTAATATATTTTTAAAAATAGAATATATTTTTTTAAATATAGTATGCTTTTTAATCAAAAAAATGTAACATTTTTAAAATTATGTTTACCGTAACATCTCTTCTTTAATTGTATTTAATTTAAAAGCCTAAAAATCACTTTAAAAATTATTAACATTTAGTAAAAGTTAAATGAACAGATTTGCTAATATTTTAATCAAAAAATTAAAATTGAAATAATAGTAAATACATTTAAATGCTTATATTTTTTATTCAAATAGTTATTCGAATACAAGATGTAAAACTGTTTTGTTAATTTTACAAATATTGTGCAATTTAATATATGTAAATATATTATGTAATGTAAATATTGATTAAAAATTGTTTAAGGTATTTAAATATTTAATTCACCTTTTCACTTTTCATTTTTCAAATTTCATTCGTAAACCATTATGGGATAATTGGGGCGCAAACAATAAAATAGACAACATTGTCAAAAGAATTTTAAACAATACTGTTAATTAAGTCTGATTTTTTCATCTGATAGAAGAAAAAAAAATTTATTGATGGAATTAAAAGTTGGAATGTTGTTAAACTGAAAGAATTCCAGCAAACAATGAGTATTCCTCTTGGTGAAAATCCTTTTAAAAAATTATTAAAAAACATTTATTATGCCAATAAACTTAAATTACAAAAAAAATTTTACAAAAAAAAAATCAAATCCAGATTTTTTCAAAAATTAAAATTAAAGTTGGGTATCCAGCTTTCCCATCCATTTGAAATTGGAAATTGGTTGTTAGAAAAAGAAGTGGAAATAAAATTATAACCAACCACAAAGTATTAGGACATTAAAACTTATATTCTCACTCACAGCTCTAAAGCTTTGAAATAAGGACATTCTCTTTATGCTTCAGATTATGTAACTTCAGTAGCTTTTATAACAGTTTATCAGACAGTTTATCAGCTGTAAATTTTTTTTATTTAAATAGAATTGTAATCCCTTAAACAAGAATAAGTGATGATTTATATGAATCATGGGTATGTTTAAATAAAAACGAAAGTATATTAACTGCAGAATGCAATTGTGTAGCCGGTTATGGAGACAGCTGCAAACATTAATTTGCTTTGTTATTGTTTGTGGAAGAGCATGTGCTATTAGGAGAAAATGTAACTTGAACATCACTAAAACAAAAGTGGACTAAACTCAGAAAAGAAAATTATACGAGTCAGATAAATTACAAAATATTTTCATTAAAAAAGTCAATTCGAGCTTAGAATATAATAATCTAAAACTCAGTCAATTTTTATACGATCCTCATCCTTGTTATTAAAACCAGTCACAGTTTACAAAGGAAGATAGGGAAGCAATTGCAGGAGCTAGATATGTAAAAAGTGCTGTGTTTTGTATTAAGTCAGATATACAATCAGAATACTTTATGAAAAAATTACATTGCAAATAAATTAAATTGCAATCTAAATGTTTACTTTGGAATTCATATAGAGTTGGAACAATATTCTATCTATTGCTAATGCTGTCATAATAATGCTGTAAGATAATGCATAAGAAAATAATGCAATTCAATTCAATGGGATAATATTTTTCTGTCTTATGCTCGAAAAAGATTCCAGTGAATAGAAAAAGGCTCATAAAAACTTTACATCTTACTAAACTGGGCTAATAGTATTAGTCAAACACCTTATCTTGCAATAAGCCCAGGTGGGTATAACAAGTTGTAAATGTTGTGGGTTTGGTTTGCTTGAAATTAAATGTCTATGGATATTATTATTATTATTATGGATATTATTATTATATATATATATATATATATATATATATAATAATAATATCTTATATATATATATATATAATAATAATATATTATTATTATTATTATTATTATTATTATTATAAATTATATCTATAATTTATAATAATAATAATAATAATAATAATAATAATATCCATAGACATTTAATTTCAAGCAAACCAAACCCACAACATTTACAACTTGTTATATTATTATTATTATTATTATTATTATATCTATAAATTATTACATTAAATTATTCACTTTTATACTCAAATTCTTGGTTGTTGAAATAGTTCTTAAAATTCCTGCATTCTATTATAGTATGAAAATATAAAACATTTTTTATAAGCAGTAAAAGCATTTATAGCTTTTTGTCAAATTTTTTATCAAATAAGTAATGTTTTTAATAAATAAATGAATAAAAAAAAAACTGTGTAAAAACTTGAAGACAACCGTCGTCTAAAGAATTTAATCACAGTGCAATAAATGATGCTTGTTATGAATTTTTAACAAGCATCATTTATTAATAATTTTATGAATTTTTATCATAATTCAATTTGTGGTTTATTTTATTAGGTTCCATCGTTTTCTGGATGTGAATCCTTTAGATATTACCAGAAATATATCTGGGTAAGTTAATTTCCATATTGAACTTTGGTAAACACATATACACACACATGCATACACACATACCGGACTGTTTTTGAGACCTGCTTGTCCAACAATTATTTTTTATATATTTATATATATATATGTGTATATATATATGTATGTATATATATATATATATATATATATATATATACATACATATATATATATATATATAATATATATATATATATATATATATATATATATATATATATATATATATATATATATATATATATATATATATATATATATATATATATATATATATATATATATACTCTTGCATGTCTCTTGCGTAGCATCAAAAAATATTTCCCATAAACTGTAGTTTTAAAGAGCGCGTTAATAAACCAGACCAGAAAAAGTTTTAAAAATTAAATTTTTTTTTTTAATTGATAGACTGCCTGGCCAAACCAAACCCTCAGTCGATGTAGCAGCACTCTCTTGCGAGTCAGGCTATTTGTCAGTCGTTGTAGCAGCACTCCCTTGCGAGTCAGGCTATTTGTCAGTCGATGTAGCAGCATTCCCTTGCGAGTCAGGCTATTTGTCAGTCGATGTAGCAGCACTCCGTTGCGAGTCAGGCTATTTGTCAGTCGATGTAGCAGCACTCCGTTGCGAGTCAGGCTATTTGTCAGTCGATGTAGCAGCACTCCGTTGCGAGTCAGGCTATAAGATAGTCGATGTAGCAACATTTACGCATGTTTAAAAAATGTTTTTTATTAAATCAATAACAAAAACACCACTAATTAAAAAAAACTTTCTAGTCGTTATAATTGCGGTTTTTTAAAAATTTTTTAAAAAACAATTAAATTTAATGTACTTCCGCATAAATTAATTGCTTTGACATTTCGATGACAATCAAAAACAGCTTAAGAGACGAGGTAATTAAAATTGTAGTCGTAAGAGACTTTTTTTACATTAAAATGCTCTTAAAGCGACACTATATGAGTATATATATATATATATATATATATATCTTTATATTTGTGTTTGTGTGTGCATCTAACAATATTAAACTTTCTCATTTTTTTTTAATGCTTTTTTTTTTTTTAATTTTATTTTTAATTTTTATCATCTTTTTTGTTATAGTTTTATTTCTTTTTGTTTTAAATATTTACCGTAGCTACTATTTTTAATTTTACTATTATTATTCATATTTTATTATTTTCAATTTAAATAAATGTGTTTTCAATTTAAACAAATATGTTTTTGTTAGATGTTAGGTTTTATCAGTCAATTGTTGGTAACTAACTTATATGTATATTTAGCTATTGTGTTTATAAAAACAAGTGACTTATTGTTTCATTATTTTTTTAATTTAATTCATATTATAATTGTTATTGTTTGTTTTATTATTATTGTGGTTCTTATGTTTATTACTATAAATATTATTTTTATTATTATAATTGTTATTCTTATAAATATTACCAATTATATATATAAAGATCTATATTTTTTGCGTTTACTTGATATTAGTAGAATTACTGTTTGTAAATATCCATGAAATTATTTCAGAATATATATATGTATGATGATATGATATTATATGATATAATTGACTGCAAAAAAAAAATAATTGTACTGTTCAAAAATAATGTCAAATTGATCAAGTTCCATGGAAATTAGTATTGAGTGGAGCCTCCTTTGGCCTTGATGACCTCAGCTAGACAATTTGGCATTTTGTTGCTCAAATTTTAGGTCTCTTTTGTTGTTATATAATTCTATGCGCTCATTACAGCTTTTTTCAAGTTGTCTTTACATCTAAATGCTCCGTTGCCATTTTTTTTTGTCCAAAATATACCACAAATTTTCTATTAGATTCGAGTCCTGACTTTGAGATGGCCTTTGATGAAGTTTAAATTGCTAATGAAGTTTAAATTGCTACTGAAGCAAAAAGAATTAGAGTTAATAAACCATCATCTAAAACCTTTTCTTTATATCTAATAACTTGCTTTATATTTTTTGTTTCGTTGTGACCTCAGGCGCAATGCTTGTTCATCCGCGAGTTATTTTGTATTTATGTTTGTGTTTAATAACCAGAAACTTCTTATATGTTTAATACATAATTAGTTTTATTAACTTTGATGATTATCAATAAATTTATTGATAACGCAATTGTTTTTGTAAGTTTTTGTTTACAAAGTAAATCATAAAAATTGCTTTAAAAGATTACATCATAATAAAATACAGATACACAAAGTTACAATTACTATAAAAATACATATTTTATAAATAAAAAATAGAATATATTAATAAAATCTATAATTTATAATAAACTTTCGAAATTTTGATAATTTAAAAAATATATATTATAAAACATTTATTTTTGTAAACAAATAATAATAGTTTATGGATAAAAGATTTATGGCTTTGCAGATGTGGCTCTGAGAATTAGCCATAGTATTAAAGTTCGTTTGATAATATATTCCTAAAACAATGTATACTAGAAATCTCAAAACGTTTCAAATTATGAATAATACAATTTTTAAAACATTTTAACATATTTTTTGAACCAATAAAATTAGCTTGTACATAGATTTGGCAGGTTTTTAATGTTAGCGAATATTTTATTTATTCATCCAAACCAAGATGTTTTGAGAACATTCAAATTTATTATGTTTCCATGTTAATCTCCAATTTTATATATATATATATATATATATATATATATATATATATATATATATATATATATATATATATATATATATATATATATATATATATATATATATATATATATATATATATATATTCCTCTGTTGGGAATGGCTAAAATTTCTCAAGCTCACATTTGTGCAGCATGCTATTCATTTATCATATATATATAAAGGGTGTTTTAAGGTATAGATTCATTTATCATATATATATAAAGGGTTTTTTAAGGTATAGATTCATTTATCATATATATATAAAGGGTTTTTTAAGGTATAGATTCATTTATCATATATATATAAAGGGTTTTTTAAGGTATAGAACTTTAAATTGCAATAAAACAACGATGGATTATTCGATTGACAATGATTTTTTTTTATCAGAAAGATAATCTTGTGGCATTACATTTTAAATATAATTTCTGGCATATGACCGCCACGGCTGGCTCGGATGTAGTCCAATCTGGACGTCCAATTTTTGATGACTTTTTCCAACATTTGTGGCCGCATATCGGCAATAACACGGCGAATGTTGTCTTCCAAATGGTCAAGCGTTTGTGGCTTATCCGCATAGACCAATGACTTTACATAATAATGACTTTACAGCCCCAAAGAAAGTAGTCTAGTGGTGTTAAATCACAAGATCTTGGAGGCCAATTCACAGGTCCAAAACGTGAAATTAGGTGGTCACCAAACATGTCTTTCAATAAATCGATTGTGGCACAAGCTGTGTGACATGTTGCGCCGTCTTGTTGAAACCACTGCTCCTTATCTTGTTTGACATCATGGTTGTTCAATTCAGGAATGAAAAAGTTTGTAATTATGGCTCTATACTTATCACCATTGACTGTAACGTTCTGGCCATCATCATTTTTGAAGAAGTACGGACCAATGATTCCACCAGCCCATAAAGCGCACCAAACAGTCAGTTTTTCTGGATGTAACAGTGTTTTGACTACACTTGAGGATTATCTTCACTCCAAATGCGGCAGTTTTGTTTGTTGACGTAACCATTCAACCAGAAGTGCGCTTCATTGCTAAAGAAAATTCGCTTATGAAAATCAGGAACAACGGCAATCTCGTTTTGGGCCCATTCGACGAATCTACGCCTTGCTTGATGATCGTTTGGCTTCAATTCTTGCACGAGTTTGATTTTGTAAGCACGCATACCAAGATCCTTCCGCAAAATCTTCCATACAGTGGATGGACACAGATCCAATTCCTGTGCTCGATGGTGGATGGACTCATTCGGGTCTTCCGCAATGCTACGCTCTACAGTAGTAATAGCTTCTTCTAAACGTACCGTACGGCGTCTCTGGGGATGCGAGTTATCAATAAGAGTAAGCGTGGTGCAAAAATGTTCCATGGTTAATCAAATTAACTGCTCTGATAGACGATTTTGTTGAGGATAAAATGGACGTAGTGCGCGATACGTATTCCGCACAGAACCATTATTTTCGAAATAAAATTGAACTATTTGCAAGCGTTGTTCAGGCGTGAGTCTATTCATAATGAATTGCCAAACCAAACTGAGAATAAATCACTTGTCACCTGTTAAATCGGTCACCATCTTGAACAGTAATGCCAACTTAAAGTTCTATACCTCTAAAAAAAACACCCTTTATATATATATATATATATATATATATATATATATATATATATATATATATATATATATATATATATATATATATATATATATATATATATATATATATGTATATATATATATATATATGTGTATATATATATATATATATATATATATATATATATATATATATATATATATATATATATATATATTTATATATACACACACATACACACACACAAAAAAGTATAAATCTAAAACACACAAAAATGTATAAATAAAATTATAATAAATTTGGCAAGACAATTGAAAATGATTCTGAAACTTTATTATTTTTTATTAATAAAAATAAAAGCAATTGATGATGAATTTGAAACTAATACACATACTGAATTTATAAATTTATTTGCCTACCCAAGGTTCTAATGTACTACTTTAAAAATCCAGTTTTTATTTATGTAAATAAAAAAAGGGTGAGATTTTAGATAAAAAGTTCAGATTTTTTATAAAAACGGCGGGAAATGGGGCTAAAAAGGTTGTAAAGTGAAAATTTTTCATTTAAAAAGTGTTAAAAATTTTTTAAAAGAAAGGTTTTTGTTTTATAAAAAAAGAAAAAAGGGTCAAGTTCCCTCCCCTTTCTGTTTATCATTTGTAAAATTATAGATATCAGATCTTCCTGAGTTTACATTCAGAGATTCTATTGACTTTTATTAACCAAATGCCTATGTTAAAAGGGTCAATTTCATAACCATTCTTTAAAGGTTTCATGACTTTTTTGCTTTCAGTTTTCATTAATTTAAAATCATTAAAATCAAGTACATTAATCCTCCCTCCTAACCAGTGTTTACAGTGGTAGAATCTTCATTGATGGAAGTTAAATGTGTAACATTCCTCATTGCAATAAAATTATTTACCTTATCTGCTAAATTTTGAGCTTGTTTCTTTTTTGCTTCTTTAATTGGATTGAAATGGAATAGATACCTCTCATTACCAGAAAAACAATGTAATATTCTTCTATAACTTTAGTGGGATATTATCTCTCTGATTCACTTACAGTTAAAAAATTTACTTATTACCAACCTTTAAAAAAATATTTTATAATTTCTGTATAATAGTAAATATAAAAATTGTTTAGCAATTTTATTTATAACTTCGTTGCTAGTTTGCCAGACTTTATTGAATCAATTATTAATTTTTTATAATTTTTGGATATAGGTCCTCAGTTTACCCATGCTTCAGTAGTTATAGCTATAGTTTACACTAAGTATATTACTGACCAATGCTATATTAGAGATATGTTCATAACATGTTTTAGTTTCTGATATTTTTTTTAATTTTACCTTAATTTTATTCTTTTCAGTCAATAGAATTTTACCTTTTAATTTTATTCTTTTCAGTCAATAGAAAAAATCTAATTTTCATCAAAATTAAGAATTTTAGTGTTTTTTACATTGTTCATCCTGAGCAACAATATCTGAGTTATGTTTTTATATATTTTTATTCATTTCTGCTCTATTCTAAATACTTCTAATCAGTGTAAACTTCCTTTAGCTTTTACCTATAAAAGTGAATCCTGTTTTGCAGTGACATGAGGCTGGCTGTTATGGATTGGATAATCTCATCGACTTCAATGTAAAGCAGTAACCAACTGTGCATATAGAGAATTCTTTTTCTGGAATAGTTTTGTACCTGAATGGAGTTTTCTTCTGAACACAGTTGCTTCTGTTGTATCAGTCAACACCTTCATAATCAACCTTATATTCTAAAACTTCTACAAAAAAAAACTGATATTTATTGTAGTGGGATTTCCATAGCCCTGCTCACAATGGCTTAACTATTAGTTATAAAGTTATACTCTTCTTTGTTTGCAACTTTTTCATCCTTTTTGAATCTTAATATTACTTTTCTTTGTTTGCAACTTTTTCATCTTTTTTGAATCTTAAATCAGCATTATGCGAGTTATCAATAAGAGTAAGCGTGGTGCAAAAATGTTCCATGGTTATTCGAATTAACTGCTCTGACGGACGTCAGACATTAACTGCTCTGACGGACGTCATTAAAGTTTTTAATAAAACAGGCCAAGTTGATATAATGTAACAATTCTAATTTTTATTCTCTGGGTTAAAAAAAAAAGTGGCAATATTTTGCTTACATCTAGAAATAAAAAAAAAATGTAATAAATTTTTTAAAATTAATCAAGAAGAAAATTGAAATATTGTAATAAATAAGTTTTTTAGTTAAAATATTTATAAATTAAAAAGCTTTAGCATTTATGATACTATATAATAATTTAAGTATATCCATTCATACCTTTGAAATTTTTTCTCTCTAGTATAGGTACAGGTTAACACCAGCTTTATAGTCAGGAGAATAGCATGGCTCAGAAAAAGAAATACAATCATACAAGTACAATCTACTAAATTAAACAGCGAAGAGATTCAACTTTTCTTTTGTAACTTTATTTGCTCTATTTTGAGCAACCAGATTATGTTCCATGCCTCTAAGATTTGCACAAATCAAACACTGGAAGTTAACCATTATTCTAAAAGTTTACCATACATATTAAGGATCAACTTAGAAATGCAACAGTTTCTTTCATTTAGTTTGTTTTATCTATAAATTCCATTTATTTACTTTCATTTAGGAAAGTATTTAATTATTTCTGAGTTTATTTAGAACTACATATTGTTAATTTATTTTTTAAATTAAATAGCATAAATATTGACCACAAATATTTCCTTAGCAAACTCTAACAGAAAGCAAAGAAGAGGGTTAAAGAGCAAAATACTTGACAAAAACTTAAAAAACTGTTAAATATTATTAAAAGGACTGGAGAAAATTCCAAACTACTGATGTTTGAGACAAAATATTAGAGAAATAAATGTTTAAACAGGAAGAAGTGAAATTATTCAACTTTACTAAATGACTAGTCACGCACGTTTTGGTTTGATGGAGCAAGGGATGGTAGCTTACTTGAGCAGCAGCCATGGCTGTGTTTAAAAAAGAAAAGGATGTAATCTTACAATAACAGGGAAGAAGGTCAATCTATGCTGAATTGACAGAAAAAAAGTCAATGCAACTGTTCTTGCAAGGATTAAAGGACAAGCAGAGTTGCAGTTTTAACAAAATTATTTCCAGTTAACTTTGAATTAATGAATAAAGTTTAGGTCTTTACATTGATACTTTTTAAAATTTTGACCTTTTTATTGAACTACCCTAAATGAATATTATAATAAAATTTTATATACTGTAATGTTAGTAATATTATTCAATAATGATAAAGTTCTTTTTATAATTGTCATTAAAGTATTTTTTTGCATTTACTATAATTTTGTTCAAATGATTACAAAATAAAATGATTAGTTACAGGTTGCTAAAGTTACTGATTGCTAAAGTTACAGATTGCTAAAGTTACAGGTTGCTAAAGTTACAGGTTGCTAAAGTTACAGGTTGCTAAAATGATTATTTCAAACTGATCACAATCTTTTAAGAGCAAAAAAGTTTCATGAAGTGATCATCATAAAGTTATTGCAATGAAGTGATTATTATTTACTAGAAGGAAAATTAAAAAGTTTTATTAAAAGTACTATTCAGTACTAATAAAAAGTTCTATTAAAAGTACTATTCAGTACTAATAAATTATTCAGCTCAATACAATGAAAGAGTAGCAAGATTGCTTTCTTTGGCACAAGTGCAAATCAATTATTTATACTGTCGTATTAATCAAATTTTTAAAACATCATTGTTAATGTGTTGGTGCTTTTAGGATGCAGATTTATCTAAATAAATAATATTGTAGCTAGTTAATATTAGTAGCTAGTATAACATTGTAAACTTCTTGCATTAATTAAAAAAAAAAAATGTATTAATAATTAACATGAGTAATTTAAAATATTCTTTTTGTTACATTAAAGTAACTTTTAAATACTATGTCAGTTTAATTAAAGTACTGCAAACAATCATTTGAACAGTGATTAGTTATAAAAGACTACTGCTATCTTTTATATCCTGCTATCTTAGTTGTATACTGCTATCTCAGTTATATACTGCTATCTCAGTTATGTAATGCCATCTCAGTTATATACTGCTATCTCAGTTGTATACTAGACTAATCTCTAAATGACTATGTTTCTATGTTTTTTGTCTAGTTATTAACTATATACAAGGCTTTCAATTTAATTTTATAAGTTTTATAATCTTAGGTATAAAGAGTTTTGCAATTCGTAACAGTTTTTCAAGTTATGGTGAAATAAATTAAAGATTAACATTTTTTTAGCTTATGTAAAAAGTTATGTATTAACTGTCAAGATATGAAAGCACTACATCTGAAGCAACTTGTTGAGAAGTTTTTAAATCAACCACTTCTATCAGCTAAAGATGAAAATTTTATACAGGTAAATTTAAAGAAATCAACCACTTTTTCAGCTGAAGTTTTTTAACAGAAAACTTTTTTTTTTTAATAAGTTTAATTTTTTTTTAAGTTGAAAAGTTAAAAAAATCTTTTATCAAGCATTTTATTTTTTTTATTTTTTTTTTGTAGACAGATTCTCATTATTCATTGCTTTCTTTGTTATTATGTCTTTCTACTAATCCATTAAGCACAACTGTTAAACTGAATAAAGAAATTGTGGAAATAGGTGAATTTATTTTTGAGTGATTTAAAGTGACTGATTGAAGTTTAAAATTATGACATAGTATATATATATATATATATATATATATATATATATATATATATATATATATATATATATAAATATATATATATATATATATATATATATATATATATATATATATATATATATATATATATATATATATAAATATATATATATATATATATATATATATATATATATATATATATATATATATATATATATATATATATATATATGTATATATATATATATGTATATATATATATATATATATATATATATATATTTATTTATTTTTACAACAAAATTTGGCAGTCAATTGTCAATTTTTAATTTCTCATTTTCATATTTAGACCACATTTTAGTTATGATACATCTAGTAGTTATTTTTAAGCAGTTTTACAATAAAAACAAACATGGTAGCATTTCTGCAAGGTTGCTTGCAGTATTTGGTCTTTTTATTGTCAATAAAAGATCCTAGAAAATCTGCTACTTGAAAATTCAAATAATTTTTAACAGCTAATGGCTGTATTAGATAGACAAAAAGTCTAGTAAAAGAAAATATAAATGATGCTACCTAACCTATATGTGTGTTTGGTGCTCTGTGTATGTGTTTGTGTGCAGGTCTGCAAATCTTTGTGCTTTTGTGAAGGTCTGTGTGTGTGTTAGTGTATGTGTATATTTGTGTGTGAATATATATTTTTTATCAGCATATGATTCCATTTTCTTAGGACATGTAATTTAAGACTTTTAGAATGAATTTGATTATTTAAAAAAATTGTTATAATTAGAAAATGAGCATTTTGATTGGAAAAAATATTTGTATGATGAAGAAAATGACATGAGGATTGGAGCTTCAATTGATGATACTATTGAGGAGGTAAAGTTATTTAAAATTTGAATTTCTTTATATTTTATGTGATAAATTATTAAATACAACGTAGTGTATTATATATACATATATTACATTGATGGGTTAAAGTTTTACTTTTGAAAGTTAATCTTTAAGTCGTGATTTTATTTGTTTTTTTTTTCTTCATAGATTTTATGTTTCTGTTGTTTCTTATATTTTGTAACAGTGCAATGTTATTTAGAACACGAGTTACTAGACTTAATTCCCAAAAAAACTTATTTAACTCGTTTCAACTTTTTTGTAACTTGTTTAATTGTTTTTGGTAAAAGTTCAACTTTCAAGTTTCTTAATTTTAAATCAGCAATCATTCATAAATAATTCTTAAACAATTACTTAGAAAATTTTTAGCATTTTTTTGCATAGTTAGCAATATTGCTCACACAATATTGTAAGTTTTATTTTAATCTGGCCCATTGAAACAAGATATGAATCTTTCTAAATATTTTAGTTCATATCTAGTTTTTTTGGTTTAGAGATACAAAAACAATTAATCCACACATTTTCCTGCATTTTTGCTACTGGTAATGTTTGTTTTTTGAAAAGTCAGGAAAATATGTTTTACTTAATGATTTTAATGATCCAGATCAATTTTTACTTTTACTCATATTAATACTTTAAACACAATAATTGCAAAACTCTTCAAAATGAATTCTATTTTGTCTTAAGGTAATCTAAAATCTCATTTTTTTTTGTCTACCTCCCCAAGACCGATAAGGCTACTACAGATGAGGAGGCCAAATTTTGCCTCTTGTGGTTAACTTGTGGTTATAACCTTCTCTCATCTCTATAACTCCAAACACAAACCTTGATAAACAAGGCCGCTGTGCAGAGAAACAAGTTGGGAGCAGTACTAACAGGGACGTGGTGGGAATCAAACTTGGAACCTCTCCCTTATGAAGCGAGCGCTCTACCACTACACCACCACTGCATATATATAGTATGCTAATATTTGTGGACAAGCACCCACAAATCCAAATTAAAACATCATCATCAGTATCAACAGTATCATCCCAATTACTTTTTTTTAGATAATATTTTTCAAGTTAACACAAACATACATACCACAAAAGAAACAGAAAAATTTATATTGCTAATAAAAACCTCATAAATTTCACAATTCTCTATCTCATACTGGGACCTTTACTACAAAATAATATCCAAAAACAATCAAAAAAGTCAAAACAATAATTTTAACTTTTTTTGTGTAACAGAACAGAAATTATAATTTTCTGGTGCAGTTTTCCATGCTGAGATCAAATATTGAAATCGCTGTGTAAGCTCTAGTTTTTATGCATAGATATTTTTGATTTTTTATGTATTGATACAGTTTATTATATTTATGCATGTATTATACATAGATTACAATAGAAAACATTTAGTCATTTCATGTTAGACACTCTAGGGCATTTATATGCTTGCTTGTACACAGCTTTTAAATATTTTCTTGCTATTGTCCAACAATAATCTGCCATGATTGAGGTGCTCCATTGACTCTGGTACCGCTTGTCTATCTCAGCTATCTTTTGATGATATGCTCACCATGTTTGTTGCTCACGACTGCACAGTTGGAAGTGAAGAAGTCCAGATGACTGTGTAGAAAGTAAAGCTTTAATGACATTTCAACCTAGTGTTTGAAATGAATCCAACAGGCTCTTAACAATTTTATTGTAATTATGAGCTCTGTTGTTCCCCAAGACACTCCTCACCACTGATTAAAAATTCTCCCAGGAATCCTAGAATAAGTGCTACAACTTTTAACTGAACTGGAACTGATTGTAGAGAGTTTCCACGGTTTCCATTGGGTAGGATTGTACAGCTTTGTTTCCACAATGTTTCCATTGTACAGAGACTTATCTTTGGTGAGTCTATAAACAGTCTCCATTCTTCATTAGCATACTGAATCTTTAGTTTATTCATCAAATCAGCCACATTATGACAATAGACAACTTGTTCTGCCATTGAAAATTAAAGTTCAAACGGACTGTCTGCTGCAAAATACAGTTATTCTAACATCATATTAAAGTAGATTCCACTGCTGCAATCTGGATCGTAACGCCTCAGCCTTGTATAAATCTGTCTATATTTTATCTGCAAAATTTGAAACAGATAAAACAGTTAAATTGCATGAAAAACATATGAAACAAAGAATATTATTAAAGAAGTCAACACATTCAATGAAAAATTTCAGCTATTTTTGTCTTCACTTAAAATTTCTTTGTTGACCAGTGTAATTAATCCTGTCATGTTAAAAAAAAACTAAAATACCTCATACTCAATTCAAAGAGTTTTATTGGTTTGTATTGAACATTTATGTGTATCGCTCACTATTATTTAACAATCATTACTGTATTAACCATTAAATTAAGGTAATCTCTAGTTTTCTACTAGTTATTATATAGATTAAATATTTTCAACAACTACTATAAGCAAGTCCCTAGTAGCCCAGTGTATGATGGACTTTCATACTTTTTTTAAATGCATGGGTTAATAACTAGCAATATATTTTGTAAACTACATTGTTTAAAAACGCCAATATTAAATTTCTTTATTAATTGTGAATATGTGTGATACAGAAACATTTATGTGTGTACTTTTAGTGGAAATTTGCACACACACATATATATATATATATATATATATATATATATATATATATATATATATATATATATATATATATATATATATATATATATATATATATATATATATAAAGATTTGTAAACATTGGTTTATTAAATATATACCTAGCATAGTGGGCTGGAACGTGATCAAGACCTTAATTTTGTAACCAATTTTTTTCAGATAGTAGGTCTGAAAACTTTTCTCAGCTCAAATCTGTTAAAATTAAAATGATTGAATGGAGGTTTTTTTAAAAAGGTGTTTTCCTTTTTAGGTATTTCTTCATAAAAAAAAAAAAAAGTTGTCTTGACTGCTATATAAATGTTTAGATATAAAGGAACATTTAAAATTCTAATAAAAAAAATTGATTTATGATAAAAGCAAAGTCCATAACAATATTATTCATATATTGATGATAAATGATTTTTTGAGTACTTATATAATTAACAGAATAATTTTACTATATATTTTAAAGGTGATTGATATTATATGATGCAACAGCATTTTTAAACGTTTTTGAGTAATAGGGATGATACTGTCCAATTTTTCTTAGGTTCTGAAATTCTTAGATTTCCGAAATTCCTTGAAATCTTGGTGTACTGCTTCCAAAGCCTGTTCAGTCCAATACCCAAATCCAAGGCCTAAACATTTATATAAAATAACTTTATTTAAAATTTTTTTGAAATTTTCAAAAACTTTGTTTAAATATAAAATAAATTCGAGAGAATATATTTACTGAAATATTTAAAATTATCTAATAGATACTTCTTTTAAAAAAACACTCACCAAAAAAAATCACTTTTTTACTCAATAAACCTTGAATGCCAAGGCCATTTGTACAAAAAAATCTATTAAAAATATTAACTTTTTAAAAAATGAATTTGAAGCATTGTTTTCAAGTCTGTGTTGTCATTTGTATGATACTCTGTCGAGATATAAAATAAAAATAAAACCTTCTTCTTTGTTCTTTAACAGTTTTTTTTTTTTATTTCAAATATAATTTTGTCAACAATACCAAAGGGAATATGTAATGCAGGAATATTTTTTAGGAGTTTTGAATCATTTTAATTTTAACAGATTTGAGCTGAGAAGTAGATCTTAAAGCTGTTACTGAAAAGTAATAGCTTTTAGAATATTTGTGTTTATTTCGCTAACTATCTTTGAAGTTTGTTAAAAGTTTATAATAATTTACTATAAACAATTATTTTTAGTTAAAAAGATAAAAACAAAACATTATTTGAAGTCTTTTTAACTTTTAACTTTACCTTTTTAACATTATAAAGAAATTCACATATATAATAATTTAAAAATTAATAAATGCAATACATGAGTGTATTAGACTTTTATTTTGGTTAAATTCAGTTTTTTTATTGGATACTTCATAAAGTGAGATTGGTTCCAACATTTTATTCAATTCAACGTAAGAAGAAAAAAAATTATTTTTTATATGTGAATCAAAATTCTAGTAGGTTTTTGAATAAAGTTTTCAATTAAAATGCTTCTATTATTCAAGACAAAATAACTTTATATTGCACATAATACTTAATATAGTACACATACCATATATTGCACATAATGCCCAACATAATACAAAATAATAGGTTGCATTATGGAGACAATTCTACAATATAGAATATTAACAAATTGCATTACTGCTATTACCTCAAGACCTTAACAGTAAATTTGAATGTACAATGAGACTTCTAAACCAATTACTCATACCATCTTACAAAAATTTCTGACAATATAACTTTTGCATCACTCAATGCACTCAATGAAATATGTAAACTTTAGCTTTTTAATGTATTGCTGATATTAACTTGAACTTTTGTGTTTATATAATAAAGTAGATACTTTATTATATAAACACTATATATACCATAATATTATTATGAAGTATTAACAGTTTAAACTTAGATAAGTATTACTCTAAGTCCCTTCAAATGTTACAGAAAGTATCATCAATAATTTTTTTGTAAACCATTAGAGTCTAATCAGCGTTTACCCTAACCTAACTGATACATTCTATTAACGTCCATATCTAGCCATCATTAGCACACTATGTTTACATATCTTCGATACAGCTTTGATCCGATTTATTTTAATAAATTCTGTTCATAAATCATATTTGATGCTTTTTTTTTAGCTATTTTTTGTTCTTCATATATGTTTTAACAAAAGATGTTAGAGTATATTAAGGCTCTCAGCGAGTACTCAGACACCCAGGTACCTGCCTGTTGGTTACTGCCCAGGTAGCAATTTCAAACGATGAGTAACTGTAGCATTTTAAGCTCAAAATTTATTTCATTCATTTTTTTACTTTAAAACCATAAATCATAGTAAAACAATTTAATAATATCAATCTGGTATGTAAAAGAAGATCTTGAAGATCTTGCTAAAAATTTTAATAGTTCAGATTTCTTTATCACCATCAAAATTTATGAACGTATTTAATATAACATTCGAAAAAGAGTTTCTGATTCAGATACCTACTCAATATTTTTCAATTATTATTTTTTCTGTTAATACTTCTCAATTATTATTACTTCTGTGTACAATGTTTTCCTTTACGTAAAATAGAAATTCATCTAACTTGTTTATTAATTTGTCTTTTGGAAAAAAATCTGAAAGATAGAAGATATAGTTATTTTAGAACACAACAACATGTGCACACATGGGACTTTATTCATACATGTATTGCACATATATGGACTTAAGTACCATCAAAAGCTTTTTCTCTCAACTGCTGATCATGTGGTCAATCAATCAATGGCATCTTTGGCACCAGAAACAGTGGAGACGCCAGTATTTCTCAATTGTAATTAGGACTTGTTTAACTTAGACACTCAAAGTAAAATAAAATTTAGAAAAATAATATTACTAAAGAAGTGACATTATCATTAACAGCTCTATTATAGTATATAGGTTATAATAATTATATTAGTTTTTTGATTTTTTTTTTACTATGTTATTAAATTTTGCTGTTTAATATTTTTAATTGTTTGTTTATGCCATGGTAATCTACAGTTAATGATCATTCTATAAATTTAATATTTTTTATTTATCTATTATTTATGAAATAAGAACTTCAGTAGAACTTACAATGATATACAGTATTGGACAAAACATTTGCAACCAACATCGAACAATGCTAAAAAGTGTTCCAAATTTTACATGTCTTAAAAACGAAACGAACTATACTACCACAGCAAACAGTTCAGGAGTCTGGAGTCATAGTATGCCATGACATGAGCAATCAGCTGACAGGTGATTGCAGACTATTTGCAAAATTAAAGTCAATCTCATCTATTTTCCAATAGTTCTAGAGAGATTAGTTAAAGAGAGATTAGTTATAGCTCTAGAGAGATTAGCTATAGATTGATTTGGATTTGGTTTTTCATCAACGAGTGGAGTCAAAACCATCAGAGCTAGTAGCTGTTGTTTATTTAAGCTGTTGCTTCATAACTAATTAGTATATTAAAAAAAACTATTAATTAGTATATAAAAAAGACAATATTGATTGATATGAATTTTGTAGAATCAAGTTTAATGATAAAACTCTTATTTTCTTTTTTGAGTAATTTTTTCAAATACTCTATGTAATTTTAAAAAAAAATTAAGGCAAAAATGTGAACTAACTTATTTACTAACTTTTTTTTAAATTTGACTAACTTACCCAGTTGATTATAGAATAGTTTGTTAAGCTTTACAGTTTATTTTGGTCTCAGAAATTTGTTTTTAGTTCTTTAGCTTTAACTAAACAAATTTTAATTTGATTTTTGAGATAAAATTAGTTAATAATGTTGTATATTTATCAATATTAATTAATACTATTACTCATTATTATGTAAATTTTAAGTAAAAACTTTTGCACAAGGAATCATTTTAATTGTATTAAAATTTGGTTAAGGTTTGATTATTAAAATACTTTTGACTTTAACGTCATCAAAAAAAAAATTTTGGACTTCTTTTGCTACACATGAATAACTTTTTTTTTTAATTTACTGGAACAATTTTATTTTTCTAACTTTTATTTATATATATTCAGGTTTTAATTAACAGTGATGATGACACTTGGGTATGTATTTTTTTTTTCGTTATTTTTTGTTTGTAATAATGAATATTGAAATATAATTTAATAAAAAATTGTAATGGGTTCCTTATCTATCATAAATGTTCATACATAAATTAACCATAACCTTTTTTATCTCTGCATCATGATTTATATAGGAGTATCTTATCATATTCTTATATAAATCATAATTTATTTTTCTTATTTTAAATAATATTTATTATAAATATTTATTATAAAATTATATAAATGTTACAAATGTTAAAAAGATTTTAACAGTGAAACTTAAATACTTTATTTATAAAGTTTTATATGAAATGCTAACTACTATAAATTAACTAAAAACTTCTAAAAATATATATGCATATAGATTAACTAAATATATATTTATTTCATATTATATAGATATTGTTTCATTTAGATATTATATGAAGAAAACAATGAAGAGGCGGAAAGAAACAGTTCTGAACATACTTGTGAAGACAATTTACAAATACAAGTAGCTGGCAATGTTATGCAAAATTCTGAAACCCTAGTTTTGGAAGTAAGTTATTTTTAAAGATTTTTCTATGAATTTTAAAAATAGGAAACATTGAGAACTGCTCATTCTTACTTTTGTTCTTAATACTAGCACAAATATTTATATACATATATTTTAGGTATTAAGTAGAAACAGTTTTTTTTATCAAAGCAAAGCTTGTTTTTGACTTCAAATTTCATGAATTTGTACAACATTTGTTGCATCTTGGTTAGATCAAACTCCTTTTTTTCAAAGTTCTTTTAATTTAGTTTATTTTTTTACTACGTAGTAATCTCTTTAAATTTTTTCTCAAAATTTTTCCACGTGCTGCAAAGATTGGAAGTTTTTTTTTTGTTTGCTTTCTAAAATTCTGAAAACTTTTGTAAAAAATCAAAAGATTTATCTTTAAAGTTATCTAAATTTCTTTTCTATAGATTTGAATTTCTAAAGTTGAAGTTCTAATATTCTGCAACCCCTCTTTAATATTTTCACTAATATTTTATAACCTATCATTTAATATTTCCAATCAATTTTATAACTTCGCTTAAATATTTCCACTAATATTCTATAACCTCTCGTTAATATTTTCATTATATTTTATAACTCCTTCAAAGTTTTAAAAGTTCTTCTTTTTCTAGAACTGCTTCAGTTGATTTTTTTCTTTTTTTTTATAATTTCAATAATCAAGGTTTAATTAAAATTTTATGTCATTTTTGTTTATGTTGTTTATAAGCATAATTTATATAGCAAACTTTAATACACAAGATGCATATTTAGATTAACATATAAGTTACTTATAAGTTATATATAAGTTATATATATTATAAGTTACATATAAGTTATATATTTTTTTGATTTTGATATAAGTTATATATATTTTTAAAATACTAATAAATGTTGTATGTAAGCAATCCCAAGAATTCCCCAAAAATTTAAATGAAGATTTTAACTTGAATTTAATGTTTTTTAGAACAAAGTTTGGCTAAAGGAGAATATGTGTCCAATTTATTGGGATGAGACTGAATATTTGCAATACAATTTAACAACAAAATATTACTCTAATAGTTATCGAGACATGTGCAATAATTGGTAATTATTTTAATGTTAAAAAAGTTGTAAAATAAATAGTGATTTGAGTGTCAAAAGTTTTTTTTTTTTTACAATATTTAAACTTTGAATGAGACTATTTCCAAACGATAGTCATATAGAAGTATTCAAAAAGAACTCTTACACTGAAATTGTGACAAATGAAAATGCAAAACATGTGTCAATTTTTTGAACACACTCATTTTTATGCTAATAAAAAGTGTGGCATTTATAAGTTATTTTATAAGCTTTCCAAAAAACTGGCATTCGAAAGCTCTATTGTATACATAAAATAGAAAAATGTAATTATAATATTATAGGGATGATATAATAATATATAATATAATAGGAATGATATATATAAACATAAGCCTATATGATTGTTAACACGCTTTATCTTCTCTTTTGTTTCTTTATTTCTCGTTTTTGCCCTGATAGAAAAGTGGCAAGTTGTAAAGTATTAAAATTAAAAAAAAAATGTTTGAAACAACTGTTTGATACAAAAATACTGAAATTCTTTTATTCAAACAGATTAATTTAAGAAAAAATAATATTTTTTATCTAAAAAATATAGATGGTAAGGTGGCATTTAAGTTATTTTCATTTCCTTTATCTCTGAAAAAGGTGAAGCCATCAAAAATACCAAGACAAGATTATGATTATTTGTTATCATATATAATTAATTCTTTTAGTTTTAAACATGGTTGAATTTCTTCAAATCTTTAGAAATTTCTTGCTATTTTATATCAATATAAATGACTTTTGGAAACTATTCAAAAATTTTTTAAACTTAAAAAATTTAAACAATATAGACTGAGAACTGTTTTTATATTTTTTGAAAAAAACTGTTTTTGAAAGCTTTTAAAGTTTTTGATTTTTAAATAATCTCATATAGTATGATAGGTTAATGGAAGTTTAATTGACTATTTATTTGCAGCAAAATTTTTATTTAAATTCTTGATGTTAAAATGATGATGATGATATTAAATTAAAATAATGGCATAACGCAGTGTTCTATCTTGCTTATAATCCATAAAATATGCTGACTCTATTATATGAATAGTTCTTATTCATCAGTTTAAATATTTAAATTTATAAACAGCTTCAGGAAAATAAGAAGTTTTCAGAAGTCACATATATTACCCAAAAACCTGGTCAATAATCTTATATAAAATTGAGTACAAAATATAATAACATGGATAAACATGGACAACAACATATACAAAATATAATAACATGGATAATTTAAAATAGCACAAATAAGTTACAAAAAATGCATATTTTGAACCATATTAACTAGTTTTAATTATTTATTATTGGACATTTTTTATCTCAAATAGTTATCTCAAATTTTTTTTAATGGAGTGGATGGAGCAATATATTTCATAAATGTAGCTTCCTTGTGTCTATTAAATAATACAATATCATGAATATATTTATCTATCTGTAATAACTTTTTAAATTTAGTTCACTAACAACAAGACTGCAATAATTAAGTTAGGAGTTACTTAAAAACAAAGAATAGACTTGAAGGACAAGGAAATGGCTGACAGATGACTTGAAAAGTTGTAGGTTGTATTGTGTCAGGAAAGCATGAAGCTGGGAGAGAGTTCCAAATGGTTGAAGTGCAAGGAAAAAAACTAGATGATTAAAAGTTTTTAGAGCATTGACGGACAGATACAATAAAAAAATGCAACATTGCCGATTGGCAAGTCTAGTGAGAATGAGTTTTGATTGTTGGAACTAAAGATAAAAGTATTTATAGAAAAGAGAAAGAAATGCAACCTTGAATTGATTTGAATGTCTAATAATGGGTTAACCTAGATTTAGTCAAATTAGAATAAAAATTCATAGCAAAAAAAGCAAAAACCATGGAAAAAAAAGTGAAAACCATGGAGTAGAATGAGGCTTGACTTGGAACCAACAAGAAATAATAAAAGCTTCCTGCATACCTGCCTTGATCCAGGAGGTTATGTAGGAGAAATGTTGTATCATTAAGATTCAATGTTGTATCATTTATCATCATGAAAAAGAATCTCAGTCAGGTTTAAGGTAGTAATAAATAGTTCAATAATAAGGTGAGACTGAGAAAAAAGTATGACATAAAAGGAATTTAGAGCTCATTGCATGGTCAGAACAAGAAGAAACTAAACACAAGCTAGGGTCAGAGATAAGACACAAATCAAGGAGTGAATTAAAGTTATAAGGATAGTCTGGAAAACTAGCTAAAAAGTTAACTGAGTCAGAGATTGAGAAATGCTGAAGTTTGAAGGATTAAATGCAAGCAGGGTCAGTGGTGTTGGAGCCAAGCCATTTTTTTTTTTTTTTTTTTGTAAATCGTGGTACAACCCTCTCTCAACTCTTTAACTCCGAAACACGAACCTTGACAAGCAAGGCCGCTGCTCGGAGAAATTAAGTTGAGCGCGGTACTTCCAGGGACATGGTGGGAGTCGAACTCCTAACCTCTCGCTTACAAAGCGAGCGCTCTTACCACTACACCACTACCGCATTATATGCGTTACTGAAAAATTGTTTTAAATTCAATAACTACATAAGAAATTAAATTAAACTTAAATAGAAAACAATAATAATAGTTTAAATAATTTGTTTGTTGTTTTAATTTTTTTTTTTCTTAGTGATTATTATTATTATTGGCAACAAAATTCATTTAGTCAAAGCAAAAAAAAAAAAAAAAAACGGGTTTAGGCGATAAACAGGATGACTTTCCCATATTTTAGGTGTTTTTTCTTTTAAAGAGAAAAGAGAAAATATGAATCGTCATCTGTTTGTAAAATATATTTGTATAATTATAATGTAGCAAGTTTATATCAAGAGTTAAATTAAGTCGTTAAAATTTCAGTTCATGCAAAGCTGTGTACTTTGTTTATAAGGATCCAATTATTACAAGTTTGCTAACGAGAAAGTTACAAAAAACAAAACAAAAACAATAAACTTACGACTACAAAAGTAATAACACTTTAGTCACTAACTGCATTATAAAAGTAATGAAAATATAATTACATTTATAAAGCACTTATTACTTTTAAAGTTCATTCTTCGTTCAAACAACATTATTAATTCCAAACATTTATTAAATTTAGAAAAGCATCTAGAAAAAATAAAGCGGATATTCAAATATTAATATAAATTTCAGGAACTTTCACAGATCACTTAAACAACATTATAAAAAAGTTCTTTATGAAAAGTATAGCATTATGAAAAACGTTACATAAAAACGCGGGTTAATTTTAAAATCAATCAATAAAAAATTTTTACGTTACGTAAAAAACGCGCGTTTTTAGGGTCCATTAGTAACGTTTTTCATAACGCTAAACTTTTAATACGATACGTTTTCATAAAGTTGTTTGTCACATTTTTATAAGTTACTTTAGTTTTAATATTATTTGAACATCCACTTTATTCTTTTAGATATTTTTCTACTTCAATTAAAATTTGAATTGCTTGAACAAAGAATGAATTTTGAAAGTTGTAAGTGCGTTATAAAAGTAATAACACTATTATAGTGTTATTACTTTTGTAATGCATTTAGTGACTAGAGTGTTATTACTTTTGTAATCGTAAGTTTATTGTTTTCTTTTTAATTTTTTGCTAACAAATTTAAATTGATTCTCCCCTTAAAAACAAGGAACACGGTTTTGTATAAACTAAAATTTTGAAAACTAGATATTTTTCCAGATTTTGCGTTTTGCTTTTGCTTAATTCAACCCTTGCTGTTACATTAAAATTATAAAAATAAATTTTACAAACACTTTGCGATTTGTTTTTTTGCTATCCTCTTAAAAAAAAAATAAGAAAAGGAAAATCATTATTTTTATTGTAGACTTCAAACTGTTGTTTTTTTTTGCTTCGCCTTATCTAATTTTGTTGCTGAATGTAACTCTAAAGAAACAAAAATAAAAACAGTACACAAATTATTTAAATTATTTAAATTTGTTTTTATTTTTTTCTATTTCAATCTCTTTTTATTTTGTTAGTTTTGTTTTTTTTGTTTTTGAAACTTTTTCAGCATTATTATAAAACTTGCAAACAGCCATGTTCACGTTTTCTAAAATAATAAAATTGCGTGTGGTCATACGAGACAAAAAACCGCATGCCTTTCCTGGGAAGGCTTGCCCAAGTCAAGCATATAACTATTGGAGTCTTTGTGAATCAAAGAATAGCCATCAATACTGAGATCTAAAAAAGGATTAACTAAATAAAATTTGTCTCACAAATAGCAAGCAAGTCTGGTGAATTTTTTAAGAAGTAAGATTCAACTAATGGAAAGTTATTTCAAAGACCTTGATTATTTGTGAACAATATTTTTCATTCAATCAATCAAATAGAAATAGTAATCATTTCATGTTGCTAAAAACTAGTTAATATGGTTCAAAATATGCATTTTTTGTAACTTATTTGTGCTATTTTAAATTATCCATGTTATTATATTTTGTATATGTTGTTGTCCATGTTTATCCGTAATTTGTTAGGTGTTGAGAATTTTAAGAATTTTAACAAATTGTATGTATGTATGTATGTATGTATGTATGTATGTATGTTTGTATGTATGTATGTATGTATGTATGTATGTATGTATGTATGTATGTATGTATGTATGTATGTATGTATGTATGTATGTATGTATGTATGTTTGTATGTATGTATGTATGTATGTATGTATGTATGTTTGTATGTATGTATGTATGTATGTATGTATGTATGTATGTATGTATGTTTGTATGTATGTTTGTATGTATGTTTGTATGTATGTATGTATGTATGTATGTATGTATGTATGTATGTATGTATGTATGTATGTATTCATGTAAGCTTTTATTAATTGTTTAAATGTATTTTTTATAGGGAAATTTATTTGAAATCAGAGTGCAAGAATCAGGGAAAAAGTGCATTTCGGCTTATTAATGAAATACAGCTTGTCAGAGAAACATTATGGTTTTTTCTATTATTATTTTACTATTATTTATATAAAACATTTTAACTTTCTATATATATCCAGATAAATGGTTTATTAAGTAATTTATTTTAATAATTACTGTATATAGAAACTTATTTGGAACCTTTGGTCTTAGAATGTTGAATATGTAAAAATAATCACAATACTAATATAATTGATAACTTTAAGTAAGAGATTTTCAGTGAAAAAATTAACTTGTGGTTAAGAAATGTACTCCATAAGATGACAAAAATTTGAAATTTATAAGTGAAATAAATTATAATTGGGTGAATAAAATAAATTATACTAAGTGTCAAATAAAAATATTTTTGTTAATAGCCTGTTCTAGGATTTTATTTTTTCTAATTAAATATTTATCTACTGTTTTTGTTTACTTTGTTCAAATTATTATCTGTTTTAAAAGTTTAAGTAAATCGGAAAGTCACACAAATAAAAGTATATATTTATATATATTTAAAAATATATCTAAACAAATTTCTTATAACATAATACAATTCAAATAAATTTACTATAAAAAACAAACAAATAAGACTTCTGAATCTAAGTATTCGGAATAAAATTTGGATTATGAAGTTTACTAAAAGACGAAGTTGAATTTAGTACTGAATTTGAAGTATAAATTTGGCTTTCAGTTAGATTCAGTAACAGTTGCAAAATTTCATTTAACTTTCAGTTAAATTTGAAGTTAAAATCTTTTTTTTCAAATAAAAAAGAAAAATAATTATAAAATATATTGCATGCTTCATGTATATCAACCTGTTTCTATGCGCAGTGGCTTTGGTTGTCATGGTTTGTGTTTTGAAGTTAAAGAGTTTAGTGAAAGTTATAAAAAAAAGATTACGCTTCTTGACTAAAGTGGTTCAATTGGCCTTTGGAACATGAGTTCATTTAAAAGCTAAAAAATTTTAGTTTATAAAAAATTATTATACAGCAGCCGTGGTGCAGTGGTTTAATTGCTTACTTTAGAAGCAAGAGATGTGAGGAAGTTCGAAGCAAGTTCTGGGCATATATTGTGTCATTGGTTGCATGAACTTTCTAGTTAAATGCTCTTCAGCAGTGAACAACTTCACTGTGACAAGACTTCACTGTGACAAGACTTCACTGTGACAAGACTTCACTGTGACAAGACTCTTAGGTCTTCTTAAGGCACCTAAATTGTCTATCTGTTAAATTCGGGTTTTCAGTTGAAGTCAGTTTTTTAAAAGTCAACTTTGCGGGTCCTTATGCTAACTAGTTGTTAAACTTGAGGATGAACATAAATATTCTTTAGTCAAGTTGCTTTTGCATTTAGTTTGAGCATTCAAGTTTGCTTTTAGAGCATTTAAGTTTGCTTTTAGAGCATTAACAACCCACTTTTTATCAAATTTCAATATAATAATGTTCTGCAATAAGTATTTGCTTTATTTTTAATTACCTCTGAACTTTTGTGAACAATTGTAGCAGATTTGGTTACATTCAAATAAAATCCATCATTTTTTTCATAATCTGATAATTTGATGTTTATTTGATGTTTAAAATGATATTTCATAATCATAAACAATTCAAAATCTTCAGATCAGAAAATAATCTCAACCTTTAATAGCAAAAGGGACAAAAAATAAAAGTTATACACCATAGTATGCATCCAAAGTATGGCATTGATGCATGGAGAATGAAAGTTGATGATTTCATTTACATTCATCTGGGAAGAACAAACAATATGGTAATCATATGTATGAATAGTGGACCTCAAAAAATAAGAAAAGAAGAAATAATCATGAACAGAAATTGGGGATAGCAAGTTTATCTTGGAAGTTTTAAGCCAATCCCTCAATTTTTTTTGACAATCAATTTTCATTCAAAGTGGCTAATGAGTGGTGTAGAAGTTATTTTTATATGAAAATTATTTTTGTTTTTTATTTTTTCTCATTCAAGTATTTATTTTCTTGTTTGGATTTGTTCTTTTTTTTTGATTTTTGACTAAATTTCCATGCATTAGCACAAAAAATTCTGATGTCAAATAAAGTAAATTATTCAAAAAATTTTAAATATTTTTTTGTTGATTCCGTTGAAAAATTAAAGACAAATATCTTTAATATTTTTTGTTGATTTAGCTTAAGTTTAAAAATTAAATTGCCATGTTAGAGAAATGAGGATCTTTCGTAATGTTGCAAGAATTATAATAGTTGTTTAAAAATTAAACAATTAAATTAAATCTTGAAATTAAAAATTAAATTACCATGTTCGAGTAATAATCTCCATTTTGTAATGTTGAAAGAATTAGGTAAAATTTGTTACATTCTTTAAAGTTTTTAATATTAAAAAATATAATTTGTTACATTTGTTAAATTAATTGTACAAGATAACTTCTCGAACAATTTTGACTTTAAACATGGTTTGTATTAATTGTAAAAGGTAAAATTAATAATACAATTGACAGTACAATTAGTTGTTAAACAATTACTGTGTTAAACAAAGTTGACTTTTAATATAAGTTTTTTAATTATAAAAGTTAGTCTAACAGGCTTGGTGATGAATAAAAAGTGCTTGATACATTAGCGTAATGGAATTTTGACATGTAAAATTCTTTTTTATTTTCTTTTAATATTTTTCATTTTATTAAATTACTGCAAAACCAGTTTAATTTAACAATTAATTCAAAACAATTTAATATTATTAATTAATGTTATTGAATCTTCACTTGGATTCCAGTTTTTTAATATATAGAAATTTTTGTTTATTTTCTCAATATTAGACACAATCATGTTTTGTCTATAACTAAATAAATAAAAAATAATTTTGCTTTATTTCTTGAATACATATAAACAGTTTTGCAAATGACAATTATTTTTTATTTTTAAAAAGTCTGCATTAATAAAACTAGTAAGCTAAAAACTTTAAATATTGTGAGGAAAAAAACATAGCAAACCCGTTTTTTTATCAGCAATTTTGCGTAAAATTGAATTTTTTTTTTTTACAAAATGATTGATTGCTTGCGTTATTAAAATGTGTTAGTAACATTTTTGGACATATTTTTAATGTTTACAAGGAATTTCATTTCTGGTAAATTAAAATAAAAAGCTGGAATAATAACCTTATAGGTTTAAATAACTGATAAAGCGACAAGAAAGAAAAGCCTTTCTTATTAAAAAATATATAATAATTTTGCGCTAAAATTAAAATAAACCTAAGCATTACATTGTTAAATACACAAAATATTTTATGTACATAGGCTAGCTTGTTTTATGCATACATGCTAGTCAAGTGATAAAATCTGTCATTATATAGAAACCAAGCGATTAAATTTTTCAATTTAAATTAGTTAAAAGTAAAGTTTTTAAAGTTTTTTAAAGTTGTTTGTGGCTGTATACTTATAAAACTAATATTGTCTAAATAAATATTAACATGCTTGCTAGACTGTTTTGCTATAGATCTTATTTTTTTATATTTCGTTTAATTATGTTACATTTAATTGTCTTTTAAAATCAGTAGACAAGTTTTTCTTCTGTTGCTAAATATTTTGAATGTTTTGACTTTTTGATAAAAAGTTATAAAAATTTAAACTTATTTTTACAAGTTTTAAATGATACTTGTAAATAATATGCATATTTTATGTATTTGAAGTTTCAACTTTTGTCACTAGGATGTGCTGTTTTGAAAATGTTCATTGAATACCAATAAAATAAATATTAACTACTTCCTTAAAATACCCCTTTAAAATAATAATAAAGTTAAAATCTTCATGTATATTAAATGCTCTAAAAAAAACCTTAAACGAAGTTGGCTTGAAACATTAGTTGTATTAATTGTAAAAGATACTGTCTTAAACAAAGTTGACTTTTAAACATGGACTAAATTAATTGTAGGTACTGTCTTTGTTTTGGTGTTGATAAAAATATAAGTTAGGTATGGAAAAAATGTCTAATGTATAAATGTTGAGTAATGAACCTAAGAGAATAACAAACTAAAATATTGCATCTGTTGATGTTTTTAAACCAAGTTTCACAAATCCACTTAGTTTTGTAACTTTATGCATAGTTTGTAACTTCATTCATAGTTTGTAACTTCTTTCATAGTTTGTAACTTCTTGCATAGTTTGTAACTTCTTTCATTGTTTGTAACTATGAAGGAAGTTACAAACTAATAGCATACATGTTTAGTATGCTTCACACATTTAAAATGTTTATCACAATGTATTTAAAAAGTAAATTTTAAAAATAAAAGTCCTTTATGTTTTTATATTTGTGATTTATTTATGTATAATTATTTTATATATTATATTAATTATTTATATTTATATTTTTTATTATTTATTATTTATTTTTATTATTTATTATTATTTTATATTAATTATTTATATTTATATTTATATATATATATTAATTATTTTAATATATAATTAATTATTATTAATTAATATATAATTAATTATTATATATTATAAATAATTAAATATTTTTATTTCGTATATATATTTATATTATATTTAGGATGATTCAAGGCATAAAAAATTTATATATTTATAACTACAAAGATGGAAAGTACCATGTTAACAATAATATTGCCGTAACTCACCTAAGCCAGGTAAAAATTATGTTAACCAGAATTGTCATAAATGTATTATTATTCAGGTTAGCTTGAACTATAAATTAATTTTGTTCATAAATTTTTAGTGTCATAATTATTGAATCTGTTTTAGTAATATTTACTAATTTTTATTTTGTTGTTTTAACAACTGTTTAGAACAAAGTTGCTTGCAATATTGCTTTAACAACTGTTTAGAGCAAGGTTGCTGGCAATATTGTATTTAAATGCAGTAGTGGTGTAATAATAGAGCAGTTGCATTCTAAGCAAGAAGTTCTGAATTTAATCCTCACCACATCCCTCATAATACTCCACTCAAATTATTTTTTCGCACAGTGGCCATGTTTGTCAAGGCGCGTGTTTTGGAGTTAAGAGAGTGTATTATGTTGTTTGCATTTCAAGTCACTGATAAAAGAGTGTTTTGCAAACTTTTATTAAAATTATCAATATACTATTTAGCAAGTTTGTTAATAATAAATAAATTGATTTCAAAATTATGATGTACTTAAGGTGCCTTTTTTTAATGAAATCTTTTTTAATTTTTTGAAAAAGGTGCTCCAGCTATTTAACACTTTAAAACTTGTGGCTATTATGCATATAATGAATTTAAAGTTGATTTATCATCATATATGCATATATTGATTTATCCTCATATATGCATGTTCTCTCATATATGCATGTTCTCCCTCATATATGCATGTTCTCTATAAATGATTTAAAGTTAAATAAGGCATAAATATCTATTTTAATGTGGCAACATTCATGATATTCTATGTACTTTGTTCTAATTGGCTATGTATTTAATTGGCTATGTATTTAGTTAGACATAGATTTAACTCTTGATAATAAGCAATCAACTTTTATGAAGCATCAAAGGTAGCATATACGCAGAAGCTCTAAAGTTCATTTTAAGTAAAATGTTTTAAGTCAACTTACTATACTTTTATTGTTAAAGTTAACTCTGCTCTTATTCTATGGAATCTGGTCGTCCATAGTCTAGAAGATTTTTTCATGATTTATGTAGTAATACTAAGTTTTATCATTTTTTATGTTCAGAACCATTGTTTGTATAAGCTTGTTTGCAATAGATTTTAGTTTTCACAAAAATGCAGGGATTATTTTTTTCTGGATATTTCCGAACTTCCAAATATTTTTCTCAACTTTTAGTTTTTCCAAATATGCAAAATGTTTTCTATGCATACAAGTTTAAGTGTATATTTTTTAAGTATATTTGTTTTTTAAGCCTTTTCACCCATCACTAATACAAAAATTATAGTTTGGGAAAAAAAATTTTAAACAACTAAAATCAAAATTAAGAGGAAAATAAGAGGAAATATATTCCAGATTTTTTCCGGATATTTTACTTAAACAATATTCGGGATATTTAAAATATAACCTGGATGATCTATGAAGATAGTAGAGAAAAAGTTGTTCAATTTTAGTAATAGTAGAGAAAAAGTTGTTCAAGATTATAATGATTCAACTACTTCTTATTTTTGTATTTGTGTTTTTTACAGTTTGTCTTACTATAAATAACTCTAGCTCAGATTCTTGATTGTTGTCTAATAATTTTATATTCTCCTTACAATGTTGTTCAAAATAAAAAAGCAATGTGTGCCAAATGTTAGATACAAGTCTTATGTAAATATTTGTTCACAAGTCAACTATTTAGTTAACCAGTTTCAACCCCTTCAAAACCCTTCAAACCCCTTCAAAAGTCATAAAAAAATTTACACTACATCATAAAATTGGTTTTAAATGGATCAGGACAAACAATTTTTGATCAGTCAACTGTCAACTGAAGATAATCTAATAAATCTAATAATAAATCTTTATCCAGAAAAGAGATTTCTTATTTATGAGCAGTTGTAGCACAGTGGTTAGATTTCTGGCTCAGAACAAAGAAGTCTGTGGTTGATAAGGGTATTTGCCAGACAAGCAACATTAGTAAGGTGAATTTTATAATTAAATGCTCTTTTGAGATTCTGTGATAATATGGTAAGGTTTTTTTTTATAATCTTTAAATGCTACATTAAATTTATATTTACAAAAGCTTGCTGTGTAGCTTGCTCAAAAATCATCTTCAACTATGTAAATATAATTATAACTAAAAATATTATTCAGTTGATTTATTTAACTGTTTATATTTATAGTTATATTAATGAGAACCAAAAAAATTTTGCAGCCTATGAGCTGAATGGATAATATGGTTAAATAAGTAAAATGACTGGATGATAAGGTTTTGTTACATACAAAATCACTGCTTTTACTGATGTAACAAAACTTTTTTGGTAAAGGTTTAAAAAGTGTAAAGGCTTCTTTTTTGTAAGTAACATAAAATCTTTGGTTGCTAAGATTTTCTAAAGATTCACATAACACATATATACAAAATTGTGTTACTATTTGAACCACAACATTCATATTGCTATATTTAAAAACATTTTTTCTAAATGCCTTCACAGTATTGAAAGTATTGGCAAAGATTGTTTTTCTTATAATTTGCAAATTTTGAAACCTAAATTAACAATATTTATACATAACTTTACCAAGTTCTATCAAGACACTTCTAAGTATCTGCAAGATAGTTTTCTGTAAGGATAAAGTACAAATATATGTATATATATATATATATATATATATATATATATATATATATATATATATATATTCATTTTGTTAAAATAAGTCATTACACCATCTTTTTTTCTTTGTCAGATGCTAATACTCTACAACTAGGTAATAGAGTCAAGCCATAGTATGCTGAAATATTAGGACTTTATTTTCCCTGATACCTGTTTTCCATTCGTGCAAAGATCTGTTGGAAACATTCACCATGTTCATTGCTAACTACACTACAGTTACCATGGAAGTATTCCAAAAAAGAGGCCAAAAAGTAATATTTTAATGGTAAGTTGTAGCCTAATTTAAAAAAAAAAAAAACAAGAAAGCCTGCTTTCTTGTTTAAAAAAAAATTATAAGCAACAAGTTTGAAGGACTTCTAGACATTCTTCTTAGAACCCCAGAGGAACTGATATAAATATTTGTCTTTCAGAAGTTTATTTATCTGTCGGGCAGTAAACACACATACCTATATTTAGGCATTACTCAACCTTCAGAATTTTTTTTTTTGAGGTACTTAAAAGCTTTACTGGTTCATTGCATTTACCAATTTTTCCCTGTTACAACTATATATGCAATGTTGGTAACAATATCACTAGTGGCGTGTGCTACATACACTGTTTTTAAATTTAGCTTTGAATCATCAGTAAAGATTCTCCTCTTTTTAGGTTTGCACTCAATACTGACTGAATTCATTAGTTAATTAATCAGTTAAGTTACTATGGCAGTCATAATATAATAAATTTTTCCATTTTAACTGGAGCACATACCACTGATTAGTCTTAAGCCCAGAATTTCTGCATTGTTTTTTGACAAACTAGGTCACTGATCAGCATACTTATTCCTGTCCTGTGTTAGACTGTTGAGGGTCGTAAATCCTAAACATCTCAGGAATAAAATCAGAATCTTGTGATATTAATGATTTAGTTGCTTTAACTCTAGCAGATTACAGAGGAAAGTTTGCTCGCTGATTAAGTTTGGGTTGTTCTGCTTCATGAGATGGAGCTCGAGTTGCAGATGATTTATTGTTTACAACCCATTTTTTCTTCTTAGACCTTTGATACTGTATGGATTTCACCATACAAAAACAGCAGACTGTGAAATATTTGGTTGGCTCCCTCCATATCATAGAACAGCAAAAGGCATAGAAATATGATTTTTGGTTTAATATAATTCTCTTACTCTAGTGATTAGGGGGTCACTTTGTTTTTTTGTTTTTATTTTAGGAAACATTATTAAGTTTCTTGTCCTCATTTATAATGACTGGTAATCGTGTTGTCGAACTGATAGAATTTACGAATAATTTTTCTATCGAAGATGGTTCAAAAACATTTGCTGCATTTGCTTACGTTATTGATATGTTTTTAAAGGTTGGTAAATAAAGATTTCAAAATCGTTTTATAAGACTCTTGTTTATTTATTTTTTGTTTGAATATTAAGTTTAATTAGTATGAATTGTTATGATTTTTTTTTTAATATTGTTTCAAGACTTTTAATAAGTTTATCAATTTTCAGAAAAGAAGGGAAATGATAAGTGATTTAGAAAAGACTATAATTGATGAAGGTATAACATTTATGCATATGTTATAAAGCAATTTGAATTTCCTGTATATTTTTACTTTTAAGAAACTAAAAATCAATAAAGTTATATATAAATTAAAAGTATTTGTTGAAATAACCATGTATTTGTTGAAATAGCCAAGTATTTGTTAAAATAACCAAGTATTTGTTGAAATAACCATGTATTTGTTGAAATAACCAAGCATTTGTTGAAATAACCAAGTATTTGTTGAAATAACCATGTATTTGTTGAAATAACCAAGTATTTGTTGAAATAACCAAGTATTTGTTGAAATAACCAAGTATTTGTTGAAATAACCATGTATTTGTTGAAATAACCATGTATTTGTTGAAATAACTAAGTATTTTTTAGATAAATAAATTTTAATTAAAATTAAGTCTTAAAAATTATTTTATGACTTTTTTGTCATAAAATAATTTCTTCAAACTATTTCTTCATACTATTTTTAATATTTCTTTTTTTTTTTATTTAATTTTTCTTTATAAATTTGTCTATGTATTATTAGTAATTTATTTTTTTTTAAGAATTAAATTCAGTCATAAATTTTTAATTTTTTTTTTCTAGATAAAACACTTACATTAGCAGTTCTAAAAGAAAAACTGACCAAGGATCACCAGGATGTTAGTTTTATTTTTATTATTGTATTTTAACACTTAATATGAAAACTATCCAGATGTTAGTTTTGTTATTTATTGTATAATTAAACTTAATTACCCCCATTCTCAATTCTAGTTGTGAGGAGAGCAAAATTTAATTTTTTTAAAAAATTAGAGGAATTTTGTGAACTTAACATAGTTATGAATTAAAAAAAAAACTTATAATTTTTGATCTGCTCTTAAAAATTATTTTATGTTTTTAAAAAAAAAATTTATTCTTATGGATGGCCTGAGAGTGTCATACTTTTAATTTTCTTATAATCTCAGCCACCAAGGAGCATGGTTTTTTAAACATTGTCATTTTAAATTAGTAAGAACATTCATTTTTTTGATTTTTATACCATTTCTTCAAATCACCACCAAATTTATAGGTTTACAACATGAATATGAGTCTTGCCAGATAGTGTTTTGTTGATCAAGATAGTAATTTTCAAAAAGAAAAAAAGATGTAACCTTACAACAAAGCAACTCAAGTATGTCAGCTAAAGCAGGTACAACTATATTTACTAATTTTGACCTTGTCTAAAAGAAAAAGAACATAAATAGAAGGACTAGCCCATATATAAATTCCATACATGAGCAATCATTCCATACATGAGCAGATGAGCTTTTTTGTTTTGAGTTTTGAAAAATAGTATGACAATAGGGTCAGAACAAGAAGTACAAGATAAAAGGTTTATAGACATCATTGCAATATCTGAACCGCCTAAAGGAGAACAAAGAGAAACTGAACACAAGCTAGGATCAGAGACTGAACACAAATCAAGAAGGGACAGGAAGTGATTAAAACTCTCTGAAAATAAAAAATTAATACATAATTTTATGTGCATGGCCAAACATGTGGTTTTTAGAGTCTTTGTAAATCAAAGGTTGTCTCATTCCTTTTAGATAACTTAAAGTCATGGGTTTACAAAAAAATCTTATTCTCTGAATGTCATATATAAAATATGAATTACCTGGTTTAAAAATCAGGAGAAAAGCCACCTATTCAAAATTTCAACAAAAAGTGACATGTTCATTGCAGTGGATTCAAATAAAGTTCTGTAATAGATTTAAAATTCACAACTCAAAAACAGTATCTCAAACAGCTCACAGTGCTGATGAACTTGAACTCAAATTAAATTGCACTTTTTTACTATAAGTGTTTCTTTATAATCAATAAAATATTCATCAATTTTTTTTTTCAAACATCAGTGCTTTGGAATTATTTTTCACTCTTTGTTTACTTTTAACATAGGTGTTGCTTATTGCTTTTTTTGGAGTAGATTTGTTCTTTGTAACTAAAATTTTTTAGCCTTGGGTTTTTTTAAGAAAAAAAGAATTAAAGAGAGATTGTTGAAGTTTACAATTGATTGAAATATATTATTTGTATATATTTATATATATATAGATTTTCTAATAAGTCTTTATTGACAAAAAACTCAAAATGAAAAAAAAAAAAGTCTAAAATGAAAAAAAAGTGTAAAAAATTGATAATTAGTGATTTGCTAATAATTATTGCTCTGTTCTTTTAAGAACATTGAGCATCTATTTTGTAAAATGCGTTTTTTTATATATTTATTTTTTATATTTATTTTTATATATATATTTTTTTTATATTTATTTTTTATATTTATTTTTATATATTTATTTTTTTTATTTATTTTTATATATTTATTTTTTATTTTGAGAGATTTTTTTTTCATTTTCATAGATATTTTTCTGTTCATAATTCTTAACTACGCAAACTTTTATTAACTGCATCAACTTCTAGATACCAAACAGAATTGAAATTAACATTTTAAAATACCAAACAGATTTAAAAATTTTAAATACCAAAAGTAGAAAAAAGATTTTAAAAATATGAAATATATTACTGATTTACCAATTGCAGATTGTGTCAATAGCAGATAAATTGGAGTCTTATATTTTTAAAAATTCTTCACCAAATAATTTTGTATACAATACTAAAATAGAACAAATAAGCAAAATTTTTTTTTCTTAGGCGTCTATACTATTTTTATTTGTATAATTTAGAGAGTATATAAGTATATAATAGACATTTAATTTTCATTGATACAGTCTCATTTCAAATAAAAATATTCATAATATTTATTATCATTAAAATAAGAAATGTTTAAACCTTTTGAATGTTATTTAAAACTAAATAAACAGCAACTTGAAGTATTTAGTTTTTTTCAACACATATTTAGATATTGTGCATTCATAAATTATACACTGATGCAATTGTTCAAGGATCATTATCATTCTCTACTGTCACAGAGGTTCTTTTTGATTTTTTTTTTTCAATATTTTTAAAATTATTTAATTTTTATTTGAAGTTTTTTATTTAATTAAAGAGTTTTTTTTTATCTAATACATTACTTCGCAAACTATATGTTACTCGCATGGTTATATGTTACTCTTGCTTTTCAAGTGAATAAATGCATATATACATGTGTGATATATACACACAGTGTATGTATATATCATGCATATATGCAAATATATACTTATATTTGTATGTCATACACATTTATGCATATATTTGTATTTATGTGTGTATGTATTTGTGTGTATCTATTGTATTTTTCTATGGATATAAATAACTGCTAGACAACATTAGATAACTCAAGTGTCTAGGGGATATGAAAATCCCCTTGGGTGATCTAATATTACAGTACATTAAATATATTTTTTATGTGTCAAAAAAAATGCATATTTTTATTTGTTTATAAATATACCTATTTTTCTATTATTATCACTAAAATTAATTTCTTTTATCAACAAAATTATGAATGTTTTTTTTTTTTTATGCTTATTTTGTTGTTATTATAAACTTATATTAATGAAAAAGGATTTTTATTTAGAGAGTTGTTTTTTTCATGGATGTTTTTTATGAGTTCCTTTCATCACTTGACTTGCTTGGTGATGCATGTTTGGACAAGGTTAATATTAGATTTTTCTTGTAAATGTTTTTATAAAGTACTTTTATTATGCTATTCTACTTATATTGTAAATCTGTATTAGTTCATATATCATATATATATATATATATATATATATATATATATATATATATATATATATATATATATATATATATATATATACACCAAAAACCTTGAAAGTTGACCTTACTGTGTCATCTTCATTTTCGTATCTTTGCTCAAACTGCTGGATCATACCGATTGTTCTTTGAGAATGATCACTGACAACAATACACATTTTGGCAAAGTTATCAAAACTCTTAATGACAACTGGGTGAGCCAACATTGGGATGGAAGTGACAACAAGTCTCTCATTCTCTGATTATTCAACCCTTTCATTGAAAAAAATCAGATATGAACACTCATTAAACAAAATATAGAGTGTACCTTCAAAATATTTATGATACTAATCTTATCTATTCGATCCTTGCTTGTATGTTTAAAAAAATCTGGATCAGGCATTTGTTAGGAAAGCAAAGCATCTACAATCGCTGCTTTTTTATTCATAGAAATATTTTTATCCAAAAGAGCCGAAGGAACAATCGTTGAATCAAGATACTATGTACAATTGTTAAGAGATACTAACATGCCGTTAACTGCCTCCGGATTGGAGCAAACTTTTTTATACCCTTTTATCTGAAAGATTGCATCAAGATCAGATGCACGAGATTGAATTGCTTTATGTGCTTGAAAGAACCACTTTGTGTAAAAATATACTATGAACTCACAGATGAGTTTCAAGTCTTAGCGTAGATTATTATTTTCTTGCACAAATCTCAGTTGCTTACAAAAAAAACTGAAATTTAAGGTAGTATAAATTCTTGCCTAAAAACCTAGCATGATGGCAGCTCCATTTTTTTTTAATTTGAAATGTGAAGGGGATAAATACTGCTTTGTTGGTTCAGGCAACTCTCTTCGGTCATTCCTCATATTGGTTATTTTAGTAATATAGGTCTCACAGTAATCTAAAGTTTGTCATGCAGCTTCCTTCAAAACTGTTCCTTTCACAGTTTTCAAATCAAAAAAGGTCAGGTTATTTTCGTCATATTCGAATTTAGGGTTCTCAAAAATATGTTTGAGTTCTACGAATAAGGGATTTTCAGGCCCTACACAATTTCACACTGCTTCACAGAAATGAACCATTCTAAGCTCAATGGTATGATGCCTACGTACTAGTAGAAGAAGGTATTTGTCTACCTCTTTCGTGATCCTTATAAGTGATCCTTTCTTAGAACCAGTATTAATTGAAGATGTATTAAAGCATACTTCGCATACTCTTAAATTGAGGTCATATTCTTCTAGTATTTTCATGATTCCTATATCCATATTTCACCTAAAGAAGACGGCAAGGCAGGTACTCCAAGAAGATGCGACACACCCTCAATGTTAATAAGCACAGCTAATCTTTCATTCTTTAGTCCTTTTCCCCGATTCATTTTAAACAAAGTCTTTCTGTCAAAATGAATTATACAGGGAGAAACTTTTTCCACTGCCTTTACATCTACTTTAGCAGTTTCTGCAGTATCCTCTGCAGTTTTTTTCAGACTCCATCTCTTATCCTCCCTCATCACCAAGACCACCTTTAATGTAACAAAAAATCTTAAAACAGGTTCAATTTTTCCAGCTGTTTATCTAAATGACCTTTGAGTATGAAAATACATAATTTGCTGATTTCATAACCACTTGTGTAACTTAAACTTTTCATTTTTTTATTTCTTAAATATAGTTTTAACAGAGTGCATGTAAAAAATATGATGAAATACCCTTTAAAATCAAAGTTTAGACAACAAATAACAATAAAAAAAAAAAAAAATGGAAATAATTTTCCATTTAAATCCTCCTCAAACACCTTGAGCATACCCTATTTTTCCTTTTTTGAAGTACAATTTCTGAACTTACTTAGTCTTGAGGAGGACTTAAAAGTCATCCGATTGACCTAAAAAAAATTTTGACAAAGTTTTACCATATTTGCTCCAACTTTAGCTGGGTATGTACTTTGTTTTCGAAAATTCCCTCAAAATGATTACCCCTGATATATATATATATATATATATATATATATATATATATATATATATATATATATATATATATATATATATATCTACTATAGCATATTTATATGCGCAATTGCTCACTTTTTTTGCTAGCCTAAATTAAGTGAGCATTTTTAGAAAACGATGAGGGAAAACGAAGAATAATGAATGAAAAGGTTGCTGACCCATACCAAACCCTCAGTGGATGTAGCAGCACTCCACTGCGAGTCAGGCTATTTGTCAGTCGATGTATGTACTGAAGCCCCCGGCAGCAGGCTATTTGATGTTAGGTGATTATGACATCATCATGCTCACCTAACTCAGCAGTATAAGATTTTTATTTATATATATATATATATATATATATATATATATATATATATACGTATGTATATATATATATATATATATATATATATATATATATATATATATATATATATATATATATCTATATATATATATATATATATATATATATATATATATATATATATATATATACAGTAGGTATATGACTTTTTTTTTAATCAAGATTCCTGGGGTGGCAAATGATGAACTTTTATCTAAATATAGTAAATATGACTTAATTTTTGTTTAAATTTTAAAAAACCTGGCGCACTCCTAAAGAATTAGCTACAATGCTTAATTCACACAAGTTATATATTGTAAAACAGAAATTTTAAATATCCATATGAATATATGCTTACTTTAGTCACTGTTCAGTGTTCACAATTGAAAATTTGAGATTAAGAATTTAGCATTAAGGTACTTGTCACTTTAGCAGGTAGTGTAAATGTCTTCCATTAAATTGACTGTTCTTTCAGCCACAATGTTTGATCCTGGAATGTCAATGACTGAAGGCTGATTTACCCAATGCGTTTGGAAACACTTTGTTGCTTTCTGGCAATCAAATTCTGAAACAACAGAATACAATTCTTCAAAACTGTGTTCAGTGAAATGCTGATTATAGAACCATGCTGATGCTCATACATTTGATATAAAGTTGCAGATACTGCTCAACTGCTGGCGATGTTCTTCCAGAAGAAAATAAGCTTGTAGAGCATATGTTGCTCTAGAGTTCTATCTCACATTATGAAGTGAAGGAAGCTTTCGTCGCTTGATTTTTGGAAATTTAGGGCATTTTTTGTACACTTTGTAAGCCTCGTAAAGTTCAAATAGAAACTTGAAATCACTCTTCCATCCAGCATTTTCAGAAGCAGTTTCTTCGACTTCACCTGTATATTTTGTCTGAAGGTTCTCATACTGACTGCAAATGTTATCAACAAACTCATAGTTTATATCTGGTTTCTGTAAGACTTTTGGAACACTGAAGTCAAGTAAATGTTGAAGAATCAAGTCAAGGATGTGGTGTTGACACCCAATCTACTGCAGTCTAATAATACATTTTCTTTCAAATTCTTTATAAAGCAGAGTGATTATTCCATTTTTGCCACCAGTGTTGACTTCTGTTGTATCGCACACAATCATTTTAATACTCTTCCACGCATTAAAGTCATCTAAGAGCTACTTCAATCCAGAAAATATGTTTGCAGCCGAACCAGATTCACATATGATGATACTTAAATTCAATTTCCTTGAAGGACTTTGCAAAAAAACAACTTCATATTCTTTCCATCGAAATGCATACATTTGCATTCAATGGAAAGAAATGCAAAAAGATGACAGTTTCTTTCCATCGAAATGCAAACAGAAATCATTTTCCTGCTGAAGAATGTGTTTTATTTCAGCAGCCTTTCTAATTCCATCTCTGACCACTCTTTTCCATATTCCGTTTGTGATAGTATGGGTAACTTAGCAGAATATTCAGCAGCTAGACTAGAACAGGTTCTCAATGATTGTCTTGTAGATAAAGAATATTTGGTAACCAGATTTGCAGCAGCCTTGGTTTTTTGATATTTTTTTGTTTCCACTTCAGGTATAAAATCATCACCAGGTGATATTTCAGCATTGATACGACATGAAAATTAAATTTACCCCAAAGTAAATTTAGTTGCTTTGCAATAGTTTCTATTCTTATTTTCTTCTCCTTCATTTTATCATGTATTCCCAAAAAACGCCCAATAATGTTCCTGTTAAGAGGCATTTTGCAGAGTTCATTTAATTCAGTAACTTGCAAAGGTATTTCTAAACGCCTGACAACTTTGCTTTTTATATTCTGCTGCCATACATTAGAGCTTTTATTAACTAGGTTACGTATTAGTTTAGACATGTCTTTGATGAACTAAATGAAATCTAAACTTTTTCTGTCAGAATAGCTTCTACAATAAAATAGCAAAGCAATTAGTCAAAAGCAGATGAGAAAAATCAAAGCTTAAAAAGCCAAACTACTAGAAACTCTACTTTTAATATGAAATTTTGAAAGCCTATTGGTTAAAGGCAGATTGTTAAAACTATATTTAGCTTTAATTAGCAATAAGAACCTAACATTTAAGGTATAAACATTGCCTACATTTAGCTCAATATAGTTATATATAACGCCATTTTTTTAAAGTTTTATATTGAATAGTGATGTCATCAAAAGATGCTTATGGGTGCGCCACCTTTTTTCATAATTTTTCACTAAAGGAATAATAAATGCAATTCACATATAAAAGTTCATCTACTGAAACCCCAGGAAATCTAATTTTATTCATATAGTATAAAAAGCCTATGCCTAATATACAGGGTCTATTCTAAGAAAAAAATTTGGGCAGCAGTATCCCCCGTCCCAGCAAAACTTTGTGAAAAATTAGGGTTTTTTTATGAAAAAAAAAAAAAGTCCTCAAATTTTTATTTAAGTGGCCCTAGTAAATGATCGGGGTCCGGTTTGATAAATTATAGCTGGGTTTGTGACTGGGGCTGCATAAACATTTATACATCCTAAAGCATATTTTTTTTACTCAAAATTCGTGTTATAAT